GAGTCAGGCTTTAAACTTGGTGTTGTCCGAGGTGACATGCTCTTGTGGACAGCAGGGCGTCTTCCCCACTCTTCCCAGGGGGCCTGACCTCCGGCCGAGACACTTCCTTTGTGTCTCTTCCCTGGACTCCGGCTGGAGGACGCCCTCACCAGCGTGTGGGACACACATTCTGGAAGAGTAACACGGCATCAGTTGCGCTCCTCGTACTAGCCAGGAAGGAGTAACTGTGTTTTAAATGCTCAGCAAATGGATACAAACTATGTACAGTCATCGCAGCCCCCAGCAACTCAGCAAGTCCTTTCCAGGCTCAGAGGTGAGAAGGCGGAGACTGTACGGCCAGGGCCAGGGCCCTCAGGAGCTAAATCCAGACTCTGCCCACCCAAGAGGCTCTCAGGCTAGGGTCTAGACCCTTACCTTCTCCCGGAAGCTTGCCAGACGGGAGAATCCAATCTCTGAGAATGCCAGATGCAGCTGCTGGTATTGTCCCAGACAGCCTGGTCTTGGCCCTTGGACATCAACAGTGTGGTCCGGGCAGCTGCCACCAACTGGCCTCAGAGGCAGGACCCTCCACTGTGCTGGCCATGCTCTGTTTGCCTCGGTCCCAGCCTGGTGCATTCTCTACCCCTCTCTGCCCCAGCAGGCTGAGCCCTGTGGACTGTATCACCTGGGCTCCCTGTAGGCCGGACTCCTGTAGGCTGGACTCCTGGTGGGGTTTAGCCGATCAGAGGCATCAACGTGAGGCTGGAAGGCAGAAGAGGAGAGAAGCCGGGTCATTCTCCTCAGCTCCTGCCCGCGCCAGCACTGCGGTCACATCTACACTCAACTCCACCTGCTCCCCTGTAAGTAGTCTCTCCAACCAGGTCTTTTCCAGTGGTTCATCTAAGTAGATTTCTGTTTCCTGCTGGAACCCTGATTCACGCCAATGGGAAGAGGAGGTTGGGACTGAATCTCTGCCCCAGCGCCTACCCTTTGCCCTCCCCTATCACTGCCAGGGTAAATAAAGACACCTGAGTTGATAATGCCCCCCCCCCCCGTCCCCAGTACTGAGGATAGGCCCTCCCACCTCCCTCTCTCCAGCCACCTTCCAGGGGAAGAAGTGAGTTTTCCACCTGGTCTCATCTGCCCACCACAGTGTACACCCTGGGTTTGAATCCACATCTGGCCTATGAGCCACTTGTGTGGTTTTCCCAGGGCAGTTGGCAACTGGACACTACTGGAAGAGACAGACCCTCCCAGTTGGGCCCAGGCCCCACCACTCCCTGTGGACCCCTCTAGGGCACTGTACAATCTATGGGATCTGTCTGACCCTGCAGAACCCCGAGTCTGGGGCGTCTGGATAAAGACAAGTGTAGACGAGAACTTGACACTTGGCTATTCAGGCATAAAAACTGCTTGAAATGTGGATAAAAAGAATTTTACTTTTCCAACAAACTCATGTTCTTCAATTTTAATAATAAACTTGGTTGATTATCATGTGTATTTTTTTTTTTTTTTTTTTTTGCAGTACGCGGGCCTCTCACTGCTGGGGCCTCTCCCTTTGGGGAGCACAGGCTCCGGACACGCAGGCTCAGCGGCCGTGGCTCACGGGCCCAGCCGCTCCGCGGCATGAGGAATCTTCCCGGACCGGGGCACGAACCCGCGTCCCCTGCATCGGCAGGCGGACTCTCAACCACTGCGCCACCAGGGAAGCCTATCGTGTATTTTTGACTCTATGAAACAACCCCTGCATCATGGAAGCAAGACCCCAGCCACCATGAAGATGGGAACTACACCGAGTCGTGGCTCTCACATGGGTGCAGCCCGGGCGGATGGGCTCTGGCCTTCCGTGGTAACAATAACATCACTCGTGGCTAATTCATTAACCCACACATGCATAGACGCTGACCACTCTTCATGAAATGGTAGAGACCACGGGGTGGGCCTCTTTCCAGAGAGATGCGGCTGTATTGGAAAATGGCAAAACATCCTGTTCCAATTCTGGAAAACCTTATGGGGCGTGTAAGACCCAGGAGGCCATCAGCCTCCACAAGAGCCAGGTAATATCCACGAGCAGACAAAGCAAAAGGCCTTTGTGAAGCCCCTTGCAAAAGTTGGGAAGGTAAAGGTCTCAGGTGGGTATGTCTTCCAAGATTCTTTTGTAAAGTCCTCGTTAGTTTCACTATAATAGTGCAAAAAACTCAATTATTCCTTGTTCAAATTATATAGAAAAACAAAATCTTTCCCAAAGTACCAATACTTGTGTAAATCTAAAGGAATTCAGCACTCGATCTGAGTTTATCTGTCCCAGCTATGCAATGAAGGTGAATTTCTGACCATCTGTGTGTGTAGAACATTATACATACATACATGTACACATATATGTACACACACAGTTATCACTGCACATACACCTGCCATATCCCCTATTATGATCAGTGTACTCATAAGTGTGTGTGGTGTGTGTGTGTGTGTGTGTGTAATCAAGGCTTAAACCAAAGATCATCTACAGGAAACAGAATCTGTTCCCTTTGTTTAGATGAGAACGCCAAAGAACAGAACGATTTGGTTGCTTTTAGTTTACTTGAAATCTAGGTGATTTTGTTTTTATTAAGAGTAGAAACCTCTCCTTGCTCTCATTGGTCCATAATTTGGAGCACATGACTAAACTGGAACATTAGAACAGCTGTTTGGATTGCTAAGTGCCAGATCCCCTCTTTCTCTTCAGTAGGAGGGAGAACACATGGAATTGTATAGAATCCATAGAAATGACCCCACTGTCCGTTTCTCTTTGCTTTCCTAAACCAGCTGAATGTGGGGATTAGGTAACAGAATTCCTCTTTATGTATGTATAAACACCCTTACAAAGTAATACATACTCCTGCCTTTTTTTTCTTTGCCATAAAAATAATGTTTGTGGAACTTTTTGGAACTGTAACTCTAAGATAAATGACAGTATTTTTTAAAATGACAGTATTCGATTATTTGCTTCTCCAGAAAACAGGCATCATAAATTAACAAAACACACAAGATCTCAAGTCAAACATAAAAAGAAAACATTAAAAATACATCCTACACAGCAGAATCTTCGTCTTATTGCTGACATTCAGGCAGCATCCACCAGTCCTGGGGTTTTCAGCTCCTACCCTCCAGTCCACGTTTGTGTACCCTCCCTCGGAAGCCAGAGCCTCCAGAGACACTATTGGGGTTCCGAGATAAAATCTCAGGCTCCCCTTTCTTGCTACACTGTTTGTTTATTCCCCCCCTCCCCAGTAATCCATTGAACCAGTCACTGAGAGGTTAATGAAAAAACAACTTTATTCACAGAGGCTGAGACTTCGGGATAACAAAATATCGAATGACGGCCCTTCCACCACATTTTAAGTTAATCACAGTGATCCTGGATCTCAACAATAGGATCTCATCAAAGTTCTTAACATCAAGGACCCTGAAGCTCGCCCGCCAAAGTGTTCCCACCAGCCTGGGCAGAAAGCGGTCATGGATGCATGTGTGGGTCGGTAGCACACGCCTGCAGGATGAATTCTCAGTAAGTCAGCTCTGTGCCTACTAGTTACTGCATTATTCTGCCTGTCCAAAATATCCAACGTATTAACCAACAGGCTCTCCTGATGTAAAGTTTGTGTTCATTTTTATATGTCCTGGAAACTGCTCTAAAAAATGCAGAGACTGTCTCCACCTCCCTCCAAGAACTCATGGCTTATTGTGCTTTTCCCACATCAGATAAAATTAAAGTAACTTGGAGGTTCAGGAAATCAAGTTTCGGAACCACCAAAACAACCCAAAGAGAGATACCCTAAGAGGTTAGATGCATTTCTCAAAAGTTCCAAGCTGTACCGGGCTGTGAAAAATCCCAATTTTCATAACCGGATCTTTGTCTCAGGCCCCTGCCTTCCCGCCCACCCCTCACACCAGACTTCCAGTCACCTCCATAGGTGTTTACTTAGCTGCAGGCTCTGGGCCTTCCTGGTTGGGGCTTAGAGGGAGGAGCCAGTTGCAGTCGGCTGGGAAGACTCCCACCAAGCCTCCTGTTCCTTGGGGTCCAGAGAGCCGCCTCCACGGACACCAGTGGGCTCCCTTACTCTTGCTGGCACTAACCCATCTCTCCCTCTCCTTGCTTTCCATGTGTTTGTTTCACCCAACTCTTTTGATTAAAAGTAGCCCTTCACTACACAATTCTGGAAAATGTAGCAACAGTCAAGCCTAGATCTTGAAAAAAAACATGGAAGTGGAAAATCTTCCGCTGTCTTAGACATCTTCGTTCCCCCTCACACCCTTCCGGTGTCTCCAGAAATCTTTCGACCCTTTAAACAAAAAAGCAAAGAGATAGGAGGATGGCTATTGCTGGTAACATGCGTTGGAGAACATGTGTATTGATTAACAAGCTATCATAATGCAACAAAATGCTAAATTATATAGAGTGCACTTTCTTAATAGAAGTTGTTAATACAGATGTTTTCAGAGCGCAGTCCTTACAGTAAAAAGAATCAAGCATTTTAGCCAAAGAATATAGCATGTTCCTTTTACTATGTAGAAAGGAAAAGAGAAAAATTCTCCCTGGACTTCGGGGAGAAACCTAGCTGTGAACACCCGTCACCCCGACGAGCTCAAAGCCGAGGCCCAGGCCACGGTGACAAACCGAGCTGGTGATGGTCAGACCGTGGCTCTCAGATAGAAAGGACCACACTGCGGCCATGTACCTGCCCTCGGGTTGTCTGGGCCCTCCCGTTCCCCAGACACGCAGGGCCTGTCTGGGTAGCCAGTGGGACTGACCTAAGGTCAAGGCATTATCCTGCTCCCGCAGTAGGAGGTCTGAGATGCCCAAGTCCCAGCGCGGGCAGTGTCTTTTAAATCTCCGAAGCTGCTCCGGGTTCTGGGAAGGTCCGCCTTGCAGGAGGCAGGGGAGTGGGCCCGGCCCTGCCCAGAGGCTGCCAACGCTTCCCAGGAGTAGGCAGAGGAAACCGTTTTTCAAAAAACACGCGACTTCCTCCTCCAGCGGTGGGAGTCCTGGTTGCTCACAGGAAGCTCAGACCAGGCCGGGGGAAAGATCAGGCACTGTTCGCCTTACTGGAAATGAAGCACCGTGTCGGGGAGCTGCAGAGGGAAATAGGAGAGGAAAGGGATCCCGAGCTGGTAAAAGCCGCCCTGGACGTGCGGGTCGAGCATCAGGGAAGCGTTGAAAGGTGGACGGAGGCCGGAGGAGGTGGCCAGAAGCGAGGCGCCCAGACAGCCGCCGGGCCCCTGCTTGGCGCCCCCCAGGAGCTCGCCCCCTCCAGCCGGCTTTTGCCCCTGCCGTCCCGCCAGGATGCTGTCTATGCTGAAGCTCTTGGACTTGTCCGAGCTCTTCGGAGAACTGCGGGAGGCGGGGCGCGGAGGGGACCGCGAGCCATCCACCGTGCGCGCGGGCTGGCTGGCGGCCACGGTCGCTGCGCCCTGGAGCGCGTCGCCTGCGTCCCCAGAGGGCGACGCGGGCCTGGGCCGGTGGAGGGACGCCGGAGGAGAGGAGCCTTCCCGGAGGGGCGAGGGGCGCGCAGGCGCTCCCCCGTGGATGGGGGTCGCGGGGCGGGGGCGCGCGCCCCCTCTCCCCACCTCCGGCTGCGCTTCTGCGCCGCGCTCCTGCAGCTCGGCGCGGGCCCGCTTGGCCTCCGGGGCTCCGGGGCCCGGCTTGGGCTTCCTCTTCCGGCGCCGGTAGTTGCCATTCTCGAACATATCCAGGCAGCGAGGGTCCAGCGTCCAGTAGCTGCCCTTGCCGGGCCGTCCTTTCTCGCGGGGCACCTTGACGAAGCAGTCGTTGAGCGAGAGGTTGTGGCGGATGCTGTTCTGCCAGCCCTGTCGGTTATCCTGGTAGAAAGGGAAGCGGTCCATGATGAACTGGTAGATGCCGTTGAGTGTGACCCTCTGCTCAGGCGCATCCTGGATCGCCATGGCTATGAGCGCGATGTAGCTGTAGGGCGGCTTCTGGGGGGGCTCCCCCCGGCCCGAGGCCGCCAGCGCGGCCGCGGGGGCGAAGGCCAGAGGCAGCCCGGGTCTCTCGGGGCCGTACAGATAGAGCATGGGAGAGGCGGCCAGAGCAGGCAGCCGGGGACTGAAGAGGTGGCTCATGGCGAGTGGGAGCCCGCGCTGCGCTCCGGCGTCGCAGGCGACCCAGGCGGCTTAGGGACTGTGCCCCGCGCCGCAAGGGCCCTCCAGGGGAGCCTGCCCTGCGCCTGCCTCCCGCTCTGCCGCTCTCCCCGGCGGCTCAGGGCTCTGTCCCTTCTTCATGGCTTTAAAAATGTTAAATAATTGTTGTAAGTTTGCTATTATATGTTGACTTAGCGCTGGAAAATAAATTGTCTATGATAAACAGTCGCTGTGTTCTCAGCCCACCCACATTAATTAAAATTTCATTGCTGAAAAACTCCAAGCTTTTCCCTCCACGTGTCTTTTTGATACCAGCCAATCGGTTTCGGGGTTATTCCTTCATTTGTTTATAGAATTAGTCTGTTGATAAGTCCGCCCACCCAAGTTGAATCAAGCTGTGTTTATTTGGAAAAATTTCCGGGCACCCAATATATAAACGCACTGATCTGATGTTTGAAATATCACGTCCACCCCTTGACGCTGTAAGCACACACAGTCAGTGAGGCAGGATGTGGATCTCGGTGGCTCAGAGCGGGGTCTGCCAGGCCAGGAAGGAGAGGTGGAGGTGGGAGGGGCGCAGGGGTGAGTTTTACCTCTGGCCTGGGGGAGCCCCGAAATCCCATGGCCTCCCACAAAAGATCTTTTCTTCTCCCAGGCTTAGTAGGAAATGTAGAGATGACACAGTCTCATAAAATGCCTCCTGAGGTCTTTTAAGAGCTCTTAGATATTTTGGCGGGGGAGAGGAGATAGATGGCAGTCTGATTAGAAGAGGATGCAGCCCTCCTTGGAGAGATCCTTGGGGTACCCCAGAGGAGCTGGCGGGTGGAGGCGTACTCCCTGGGGGCCTAGCATCCGGAAAGGGGCAAGCCTCGGGGCTCCCTGGGGGCCTGGGGAAGAGGACTCCAGGAGCCCAGTTTCTCCCGAAGCCAGTGGCACAGGGCACTGAGAGTTGGAGAGGGCGTGCGGTACCCGGTCCATAGCTTAGTTGGGGAGGTTTCAAAATAAACCCTTTTGGAGAGTTGAGGGGGAGAGACTAAGGTCTTTCTGATGGGTCTGAGATTGCAAGGAGGAACACCATAAAAGGGGAATTTGGCAGCTGGTGCAGGAGAGCTGGTATTTGTGAATGCGGGTCTCTTGCTTTATATTCTGTGCTTTCCTGTTTATAACAAGGAGGGGGTTATAACAACTTTACAAGTGCACGCAGCTGGCCCGTGATTACATTAAGCGTTTGGGAAGCCTGCTCGCTCTCCCGCCGCTCCCCGCCCCCACTCACCCTGGGGTGTAAGCACTCCCCACCCGGTCTCATTTTACATTTAGCCACGTCCCGGTTTGAATCAAAAACCCTGAATGATGCCGACTTAGAAGGAGGTGTCTCCCCCTACTCCACCGCCTTGGAGGGGTGGCACGTAACATGACTGGTTCCTGTTTTACGATCTTTGCTGAATATATTTTAAAAGAAAGAAAGAAGAAGCTTGGGATAACTGAATTAACGTTTCTTGAGTCAACCCTGTGGATGCCAAAGAGAAGGCAGAGGAGTGAGGACGGCAGGTGAGGGTTGCAACGGCCCTCGAGGCTCCCCCCGCAATTGGGAAGACACGCACTAAACCTGCGTTAATGAGGGAGGGGCCTGTCTGCTGCTGCTGTCACAGAGAGGCGACCCTATGCTGGGGACCGGCTGCCAGTGCTCAGGTCACCCCTGAACACGGAAAAGCAGGGAGAATCCCACTCTAAAATGCGCAATCCAGAAAGTAACTCTTGTGTTTGGGGGTTCCGAATAGACTACAGGGGACCCGGTACGTTTGAAATACCAAAAAGGAAGTCATGGTCAGGGTCGAAAAACCGGTTTGGGGGTAGGCGGGGCTGGCTTGAGGGAGAGCCAGGTCAGGCCCTGGGACACATCCAGGCCTCCGTGCCCAGCACTGCAATTCTAACTTATGCCCAGTGTCCCGCCTGGCCTGGTCCCGGCTTTGGTCTTGAGGATGGCCCTCTAGCCAAGAGGGGGCGGGGCGCTGCCTTCTGTCTGGATCCCTGGCTTTCCTCGGAGCCC